TCCCCACCACCTTGGCGCTGACGCTATCTGCGAAATAGCAGAAACAAATCTCTCCCGAACTCTGCAACCCACCCTGAAAACAATTGGACGTTTTGTGAAACAGGCCAATTGAGTTCCACATTAAGTTAACTACTGTCGTCAACGTCCAAGTTTGTAGAATTGCAGTTTGAACTATCTATGACACATAAGACTCGTTATCAAGAGGCACTCGTAAATCGGAATGCAGAGTGCATCCCTCACGATAACAGGAGTCGGCTCGCGAGGAAGGCATTGTCACATGGTCAATAGACTACCATGACAGTGTGGTGGGCAGCGTGAGGTGTCTTGTTATTATTTCCAAAGGCTTAAAAAGACATTAGCAAATGCTGAGTCATTTTCCCATGGAATTGGGGTGGTGTAGAGATACGACGAGCAAGTACACATTGCTAGAACTAATAAACATGGATCCGTTTACCCTCTCAACAATGCCAGAAGTCATGTTACACCGACAACCTTGTTAACACAGAGCAACTAGGTTGATGGGATCATATCACTTTGTCATTTATTCACGTGATCTTCTGACAGATGATTGCCTCCAGCCTTAGAGTTACAGACAATACATATGGAATAAGTCCTTCTGTACGATGAATGACATCACCAGTATATTGGTAGACTTCGTGAACCGTGTCGCGGATCTATTGAAGAGGAAATACCTTTTATGCGACTCTTTAGCAAAGCCCACACAAGTGAAAAACATATATTTTGTTTAATAAACGCTTATTTGAAATCACTTTAAACTCACTGAATGATTCGCTAACACTTTCTCAATGCATAGTTATGTAACAGGCAAATTTATGCACTTACCACCTATTTTATATCCTGACAAATGACTATGAAGTCACCCTAATAAGTTCGAAAAAAACACGCATGGTATCTTTATATTTAATATAAGTTGTGATTGATCATAATACTTCCTTTGATAGGATTTTCCTGACTAAAACATATGATTATGTAAAAGAAGCATGATGGATGTAACACGTTGTTTTTTTTAATTTGCTTATTCTTGTCCTCATTGCTGCCAAATCACTCCACGTCTCCATGAGCAACATTAGTTCCTTCGAGTTGAATTACCAAAAGTAGATCCAAACGCTCTTAGATAGTAATGTTAATGGTTGAAGTTTTCAGTAATACTATGTCTGTACACGCTACTCTTACAATGGTTCGAAAATGAAGTCATTTATTTAAAAGTAATCAGTAATCCATCCATAGACGTTTCCGATTTAAATTTGCCTAATTTGAGTGACGTGGTAGTTAAAGCCACCGATTCTCTTCCATATATTTGAAAAATTCTCGAGCATGTAGTTTGCGCACGTAACGGAAAATATTAATATGTGGTTATTTTCAAAAAAATTTCATAGATTCTGTGACCCGTAGGATCAGGACAGGACTGGAATTATCGCCACGCCTAAAACTCACTATTCCAGTTTGCTTGAAATTATTCTACCCAGCCGTAACAGCAGACATGTTTTGCTACGGATACTTTGGTAATTGCAAGGAAACACAATGCTTTATTTGCTGGAGCCCACCGTTGGCTGAAAAAAAGTCTAGGTGACAGCGTCACGGCTTCTCCTGACACTGCTGTTGCCACTGCCTTTTTCTTATCAATAACATGAACAGTTGTCAATGTGTCCAAAAAGAGCGCTGCCGCTAAGAATGGACCTTATTTAACTCACTGATACTCTGCCCGTGTTTTTTTATGGCGTGGCCGTTTAAACATTTAGTAAATTGACACGAACATGACCCCTGCTTTGTTGAAGCGTTGCCTTCAGGATGCTCAAAGCACATTTATGGGGGACGTTTGCACGCATAACTATAAATAAATATTTTTATTTAGTTCCTCTTTTTGGATACATTATTTTTTAGGGGAAAAAGGACTTGCTGGTAATAAAGGACAGTGAGATTTATAAACAAGTGGAACACAGAGCATTGTAAACAATGCTGAAGTCATTTCTTTCATTGAAGTAGTCACTGATAAAATGTGGCCTTTACAAAAAACTTGTAATTCATAGTATCCGTGGGAAAGAAAACTCAGTTTTCAATGACTAAGATTGCTGCTGCCACGAATGAATTGCGACAGTCACGTAGGGTTGCGTTGTGTCGTCGGAGATATTCTTTACGTGTCACAGTCGCGTGCCTGGACTTAACTTCTAGATTTTGGAAACTATTAATTCTGGCTCCAAAAGCATTACTGAAGATGATATTGATAAACTGCACCTACGTGAATTTAACATAGCTGACAAGGTATCGTTTTCTTAAACTTTTTGTTTAGCTATAGGTTTATGTGTCCATAACATAGCAACGGAGAAATGCAAAGTGGCCCTAAATGTTTCAATAAAGAACGGTAATATTTTAGTGTCCATGGCCCTATGTGAAAATTGCAGTGCTTGAATAGCGGGTTTTATGGACCTCGTAATCTCAACTAGAAGTCTTCTGCACTTTTCCTTCTTGAGTTGAATAAACAGATTGTAAGTATCACGGTAGGCGGAAATTCAGCCGACAATTCCCCAAATATTGATTATTGACTCCATTCTTTATTGGATAAGGCAGTCTCATGTTACTACTATGGTAGAGAAGCACGATTCCAAGTCACTTTAGTTATTCGGTGGGCCTTGCAATGGTTTAAAAGCGGGAATCTTTAAAACAGAAAAGGTTGTCCAGCAGGTTGATCGTAACTTTCGATTTCGATATAAAGTAAGTAACACGTTTTTGATTATGTTTGACGTCTTGATTGTGGATAGCTCTGATCTGAACAAATGTCAAGGTTATTTTATCGGTGATTACGAAGCTTTGATCATGATTTTAAGCAAACAAGAAGCATGGTGCAGTCAATACGTCATGGTAAACAGTCCTCTTCCCCTACTAATCGGCGGTTGACGCTAAGTGGTAATTTAGAGGAAATTCGGTTTGAGCCCTATATAAAGATTTAACGGGAAAGTTGAAATGGGCAACATATCACGTGACACAGCACTAAAAATTCCTGTTAGTGGCCTGAAGTCAATTATCCATTCCCTTAAACAGACAAACGGTTGGTACCAAATTGTTCTGTACTCCTATCATAAGTCCACAGTAATAGGTTTTGAGCGAATTTGAACTGTTCAAAGGTGCAAGCTGTGTGTGGCATCTGCGCTGACAATGTTTCGCTCTTGTCAGATTTAAAGAAAGGGATTGTGACAAATAACTTGTAAAATTCAAATCAAAAACCCATGAAAAATTTAACTCGACCACTCTAAAGCCTCATTGAAGGGACTCGACCTTCTTTTGAATGCTCGACCTTGAGCAAGTTAAAACGATATCCATGAAACAAATTTTCAATGAAAACTAATTAGACCTTAAACAGTTGACACAGCAACAATTATTTAAATATTAATCCAACCACTCATTTGTCATAGCCACCTCGCAGTGCGTAACTGATGGCACGGCGTCAGTACTTACGATGACCAATGTGTCATAAAGGTGATACATTGGCGGTAAGCCTCTTTTTTAAGGCAAGGAAAACCACATAGGTGTTAATTTAAACCATCAACCTTGATTGTGGTCTTAAGTTGACGTTCGGTTGGATGAAATCAAGCTTTGCGCCCGCCGTTCGGTAAATTATAGTTCCAAAACTGGACCGAAAGGTCAAAAATGGCTGCATGATGCTCTTTATCTTCGAGCAGAAATCAGACATAGCGGTCCGACTTTTACCATATTTCTTCTCATGTGATAAGACAAATCAAATGCCCACAGTCATTAGAATTTTAAACTTCATGCTTGGAAGGACTGTTAAAAACGAGAAAACCAATAGGGATGTTGGAAACCCAGCACAAAAGTTATCGTTAAAAGCTGCCTCGCGGAGCATATAAGGCATGAATGGTAATCATGACTACAATAGAACGGATGGGCATATAAGTGACTGGCTATTTTCAAAGGGTTAGGCGGCATATACAAAAAACTGAGGAAGTTGTATTCCACCGGGAGCATGCAAAGCTCACTGCCGCCACACACAGGTATGAGTGTTTGCACTCCTACTTCGGAACATAAACTTAGGTGCATTGTTCCACTGCTTCTTTGGCTGAAGTGGACCGGATGCGCGTGATGGTGCAAAAAATATTCCCCAACGGAGCATCTATATGCACACAAAGATAGATGAAAAGAGCGTTTTTGTCCTTGAAATCCCTTGCGGTTTTAAGGTCTAGAGAGTATGTGGTGCCATGACCCCTTATTGTTAAAGTCGGAAGGCGAAACTATTAAGTCAAAGCCCCAATTGCTAAGGTTGATCAAATACTGTATGGAACTACAAACGTGAAGTTGCACTTTCGATTCACAGACGCGCAGCTATCAAACGAAAGTGAATGCGATTAGCCCCGGATTCTGGGCCAAAGTATGACGCGTGGGGTTTCATAATTCAGCGTAGTTGCGAAGCTTTGCGGATATAGTCAGGCAGCCACAAGAACTAAACAAAGCCTAGGCACACTTTAAACTACCACTCTACCGCCATGTTTCCACATTACTCCTTATCAAGTCGCTTGAAGTTAAAATGATTAAACTGTAATTAAACTGACAACCACTTGGTAAACAGGAGTCGATGATAAGAGATTACAACCGAGAGCTTAATAATGGTATGAAAATGAGGCAAGTAATTATAGCTACAAAGGGACACAAAAGCGCCTGCAGAGAGAGCTAGACTAGCGGTTTTGTTGCCTGGAGCTTTTGAAGTTAAATCCGATTGGTGTCCAGGTTACCTGGGCAACCTAGAACAGCAGTTTCGTTAGCCAGTCTCCCAAATCTGTGAGCATATTCATAGAATTATTAATCCATGTCAAAAAACCGAATTTTGCTTTTAAGTCCACATTATCCAGACAAACTTCCTACTTACAGGAGAACTATCTCAGACCAGCGCTAAACAGTTTGGTGCTTTTGTGCTGTCTCGTTTAAGCCACCCAAGTTCTCCGGTTTTTTTAAATGACAGGTTAGTACCAAAATCAAAAGCCGAGGTTAAAAACAACAACGTCCCTGGTCAATGGCCCAGCCGGACTCCTCCCTTTATCGCAGGCTCCGCGCGCCCCCCACACGGATGTCGGGCCTGCCACCCGTGCACGCAGAGCCTGATAATAACTCGAAAGACTCATCGTTTTCACCATCTGGTATAATAAAAAAGTGGACCCCTGATGCGTCGCATCAGTCGGTTTTTTTAATCTCTCTCCCTCTCTCTGGCGAACCCAATCGAATTGCTCGGGTGTCAGGCTCACGTAGTCAAGGAGGAACCAACGTCCAGACAAGAGGGGTTCGACGTCGGCTAGCGGTAAACAGAAGCCAAAACACGGCTTACCCTTGCTACACTCGAAGTAGGACGTCAATTAACACACTCAAAATTTCGCTTGAAAGGATAGACTTCGTGGAGTCGGTGGATTTTTAACAAGTTAACGATTTTAAATAGCCCCAAAACCTATGTTTGGCAAACTTAATTTGACATTATCTAAAGCAAATTACATTGAATTTTATTGCTCAGCAATAATTCAGGTTTGATGGAAGAATTTCGAAAGGGTATCGTAATAACCATCAGGACGGTCTAAAATTTAGGATCTAAGTCGACGTAGAAACATTAAATGATCGAAAATTAAACTACCTTAAGATGAGATCAGCGCCAAGACCGTACAGTTGTGAATTGCAGGAATTCCAGGACTAAAATTAGGACTATGAACCAAATTGCTGATTAAGATAAAACTACCGTTTTAGCATTTTAGTGTGCAGTTAGCTGTTTTTGGTTCCTTTTACCAATAAAACATATAGAGCCCCATTAAGATGATTAGTTCCCAAGCCAAGGCTGGTTGACAGGCGCTCCAAAACTAAACTTTAACAGACACATTTAGCTTTAATAGACACTAAAAATATATAGTAATGATGGTTCAGTAGCTTGGTTTCTTAAGAAATTAAAATATATGAAAGGTTGAATCGTTTCAAGTCTAAACGTTTACTGTACCGCATTCAGGTGTTTAAAATAAAAAAGCGACGACTTGTGTTGTTAAAATTGAACAACATTAGTAATTTAACCTCTGAGATATTGTGATCGATTGGATTTTAATTCCTCATCTTTATCTGAATTTCCATTTCAAGTCGCTTGCAAAGGAAACATCCAAAGAAGGGAGAAAACCTAGGCACTTTGTTCCATAGCCAAAGACATCTCTAATTTTGGCATCTGCAAGAATTTCCATGGAAAGGAAATGCGGGAAAAGAAGTCAAAGTACCTTAATACACTAAGCCGAAGTGTAGAAGTTTCTACTAAAAAAAGTAACTTTGTGGGATGAGGTTGTTAACCACTGTTAGTAAGAAATAAATTAACAAATCACAAATGGGATGAACCTCGGCATGAGTTACTCGTAGGGATTAGTTTTTTTCAGAAGATCGCCTTTTCGATAAGGAAAATGCGGCAATTAGAAAAGCGGTCAGAAGTGACATTACTTAACACTAAACGTATGCACTTTACTGGGCACATATTCAACTGACCGTGAGACTTTAATCACTGAACAGAGAATCAAAAATCCTAAGAGAATGTTATCTGTTATTTTGGGAGCCCTCATTATATCTAGCAGATGGAGCCATATAGATCACAGTTTTTCTAAACCAATATCAAATAAAATGAATTCAGTTAAAAGCATAAGAAAACCCTCGACTTTATGGCTTCAAGATTCGAACTAAGGCTCAGAAATGCATCTGCTGGAAAAGAATGGAAGCCCAGAATTCCTATATACTGTGGCTAATTGTTTTAGCTTTTAAAGGAGATGCAAGGTCTATGATGTAGTAGACAGTGCCGATCAAATTGCATTAAACTTAAAAGTTTATATACACCTTGAGTGATCTCTTCGAGGTAACGAGGTTTCCTTGTTTCTCCAATGTTCATAGGTGAACGAAGCGACCAAGCAGATCTTATGGGGCCTAATTTAGTCTACGCTTACTTTTTTGCTTATTATTAGTGTTTCAAAATGACTACGTACTATGTCGAAAAAAGTTTTAAGAACATTAAGACGTACCTTTAGAGTGCACTCTTTTCATCCAAGGATAAATTATGGCTGTTGAGCCAGTGTTACCGCATGGGAGTCCAGCCACAACGGATTTACTATTAATGCTGTTGGTGCTATTCATTGACGGCGTGGATGTGGGCGGATGCTGAGGAGGAATTGTTGTTTGTGGTTGTCCAGAAACCTTTCCATAACCCTCCTCAATTTGCACATATTCAGTTCCCCCGCTCATTTGGGGGATCAGGGAAGGGGCATGACGTATCTGCGTGTTTGGTGAAGGTGAAGTATAATCGTATCTCCTTTCACCTCCTTCAGGAAGGTCTCCTTGATGCTCGTCTACCTTTAGGAAAGCTGGGGAATGGATTTGGGTGGACTGGGGTGGGGGCGCGGAAAACGATGAATCCATCGGATAGTAATCAGAGGGTGGACTTCGTAGAAATTGGGCACTGGGGTTTGCACCATAACCTTCGTTACCACCATAGTAATCTCCCTTTACATTCTCGAAACCACCGGTAGAATCAACACCATGAAGCGCTTGGGGTTCGAGGTCAATGAGTCGTTTAGTTGGCGGACCGTTGCGGAGGAAACTGACTGGAGAAGCCTTTCGGAGGCTATCAGGTGAACCCTCGTCATAGGTGGATGAGGGCTGAGAAGGGTAGTACATCGGGACTCCTCGATTATCAAAGTGGTGATGGTGGACTTGGTCCAGGACACTTGTCGTTTCAAGCATCTCCTGAAGATTGATTAAATGTGGATGTTGATGGTGATGAACGGGGTGGTGATGGTGGTTGTGGTGAGATTGGTGGTTCAGGGGGATGTTCTTCTGAGAAGACGGTAGGGGAAACGAAAACAGCGTTGATGCGTTGTTATTATGGCGACTGAGGTCACCACTCTCTGCGTCCATGCGCGACACTAGATTGGGTGTCCGCTGTGTGTGTGCGTGTGCGTGTGTATATGTATGTGTATGGCACGCACGTCTTTCCCGTCGTGGTCACAGAATCGACTATCAATCACAAATGGGAGTTATGTTTGGCGGCCAATGACTTTTATGGCCGATTAAGACGACGAATGACGACTCCTTTGGGAAGTCTATTGGCCGGTTGATAAATGTGTACTTGCGCGCGCGTGTGTCCGTACGTCTAAAACGCACACATTACGAGTTGCCCGAGCAGCTTCTGTTGCGTGTGTAAACACGTTCGAGTGTAGTGTGGGGCAGACAGATTTGCGCGCGCTTTCCACGTGCCCTTCGCAGCCAATGGGAAATAGCGAATCAGATCAATGCAAGATGCGCGCCAATGACAGTCTCGTGGCTCTCTATTGGTTCGCTCTGACGTCCCTCCCCCTAGAACGTGTGGGCAGCCGCATCAAGCCTCCCCTTCCCCCCGAAAACTTGATCTCTTCCCTTTATGGGAAAATTATTCCACGTCGTTTCTGTGTCTTCATATCTAATCATAAATTATTTTTTTTAACTAAAGGAAGTTCCTTCATTCCAAACGTGTCAAATGATATACGGTGACGTACGAATTTTTCCCTGCTTTTGCTGCATAAAGGTAATTCCGAAAATCGTAGATTAATACACTAATATTCGACACGGACCCATGACTTCCTTTGTGTGTCTTGGATAGATGCGATTTCTAATTACAGAAAGGAAATTTTTCATGGTTTATAATGAATTATCAGGTTGTGATTATTATGTCAAATATTTGAAGTGAGAAACTTAAAGCCGAATATTATCCACAATGAAGTAACAGCTTCCGTTTACACTCTTCTTAAGGAGCGTTCGTGGAAAGTTCTAAAATCTCGTCAAACTACTGTGCCAGTGGTTCTGTGCTTTAAAGTCCTCTTTATACGTAATAACAAAGATAGATGAAATCTTTTGGGGTGTTGAGAGGTGAAAGTGATAACTGCAACAAATAAATTTGAGGCTCTTCGTTTCGTGACGCATGTGAATGCATGATGTATCGTTAATATTCTTCATGATCTTTGATGAAATATCTTGTTCTTCGACTTTTTCGCTCCTGTGTTATGGAGAGATTGCAGTATTGTTCACGTACAATGAAAAGATTATGACTTAGTTGTTAGAAGGACAGCGACTCATCAAATATGAATATTGATCAGATTTGCGTCTATCCAATGCAAAAGGAGCAGTGAATAATAAATTGGAGCCACAGACCACTAAAGTTACACAAAAGGCTTTGGCTTGTTATGAATCGTGTTTATTCACACCCCTTAATCCGGTCGCTCCACCTCCGACACAAGGTTCCCTTTTTCGTAGCATGTTGCCAGCCGCGCGGATCCTCAACTCCCCCTCATTTACACGGATATTTATCTTGGATTATCCCCACACCTAGGTCTCTATGTTAGCGCATATATGACTCACACATACGAGATATAAATACACACGCGCAAACCGCAAGCATGATGCAACGACACCAACGTGGTTGAGCTCTGAAGTAAACGGTTGTGTCCACGCCCTTTTCGATCTTTTACTTCATCGAGGGTATCAGGGAAAAGTAATCGGGCCAAGGTTGATTCCGTGGCTCCGGTGTGGTTCAAGACCACATGTTGGGGCCTACAACAGGCTAAAATAAATTCACTTTGTGATGGGGTCATGGCGTGACTTTGAGAAGTGGAAAAACCATGGAACCATGGAACCCACAACTGGCGTTCCTAACACTGAATCACAACAGCCAAAAATAACGGTAAAGCTACAAGCTAGAAAATTTGTATTTGTGCCAAGGGCAAAGTTTCCCAATTTAACAATTTCCAAATTTAACAAATTTTAGCTATGGGTTTCAAAACTGTTATAGATTCAGCAGCTTGCCATTTATGCGTTTGAGTCTTGCACACACCCTTTCCCAAGTTAACCTAAAGGAACTGTTAATTTAAGGCAGAAAATTTGTTACATTTAAGACAGTATTTCATGATGCCTACATCTTTATGTGTCCAGTTCCGGCCACCCCGGAATGTCTGAATTGTTTAACAATTTTCATCGGAATAGCGACTGCACATGGACTTCTAAGAATTTGGAAAATGGTCGGTCTTCTTCCCCTTTTTAGAGCCCAAAAAAGTGAGAAGTAGAATGAAATTGACTTGCTCTTCGCCTATGTACAAATTAGTGTTTAGGAACACCGCAGGACTTAATCTGCAGGTGCTATACCACCAAAGTTGCTACAACCTCAAGCCTGAAACCCATCCTTACTTCTAATGTCAAGTTTTCAACGCATTTTTTTCGAGATTCAGCTAGGCAAAAAATAATTTGGATTTCTTGGTCATGCAATAAAAGTGATTTACAGTTAGGGAGGTTTCCAGAACTAAAGTGTACATTTAAGGTAAATGACCAAAACCACAAGAATATCTGCCGCATGCGTTGAACTAGATGACAGCGTTACAGTGGGTTCAGGTAGTCAGATACCAAGTTTTATTTAAATTTCTTGTGAATTGCTTTGAATACGGTACATTCAGCTCAATGACATTTATATCTCAGACAAATTGTACCTAGCCTAATTTCACAAAGCACGATACTGCACAAGCGTGTCTCTTCCCACCGTGGAGTCCTCCCAATCCTTTGCTATCGAGTTTATTTCCTTTTCTTAAATTCATTTTCATAAGGTTAAATGCCACTCAAACTGTTAAAAGTAGCACCGTCTCCACTGGAATTGGACCCGAGCGCATGCAAGGGGCCAGGGGCAGAGAGACCCCACACTGCTAAGGAATTGCACGAATTTGCATTTAAGTCCTCTTGACTTCATATTTGTCGGAAGCGGACATCTTCTAAATTACTGTCATTTTTCATTCGCGCTAGGACGTTCCGCAGACACGGGGACAAGGCCCGACTCTGTCAGAGCAGTGACTGGTTGGTAAAGATGTGCTAAACCTTAATTCGTCTGGCGATGTCCGAAAATTCGTGGACGCATACCAGTTTGCTGCAAACCCTAGACTGTTCTTTGTTTTGAATCATCCTGATTTAGACCCTGGATGTCAAAATAAAAGGCCGAGCATGCATGCATAAAAAGGCGCAATAATTCTATTGAGGTCTGGAAATATAAGCAAAAAGGTTTTGATTGAAATGTACCTTGTTCTATTTTAGACAGAGTGCATGGCAGCTAACTGCCACCACAGCTATAAACGCCAAGAAAAACTGCTAAAGCAGCTCATGAAAAAAGTTGTGGTACCTTGCAGGTACGTGGAAAATTCTAAACTGAGGAGGACATCTATTCGTAGGGAATGCTCGAAAAATAATTGATTCGAAGGATATTTCATAGTTTATTGTCATACGTAAGATAAAAACGCTTATTTGATATTCTATTACTAGGTACAGCAGAGGTTAGGAGTAGCGTTATCCCAGAAGTAACAAAGCGATTCGCTGTTATCAACAAAGGAGGTCCTTACCAAATGCCTTGATATAAAGCTGAGTGAGAACGAATTGAGGATGCCTCCCCTTGAAAATTGTCCAAACCTGTAGTGCGTACGCGTTCAATCATTTCGTGTCATCAGCACCTATTGAGCTATCCAAGAATGCAAAACAACCCCATGTGTTAAGAAATAACACCTAATGGCAAATACACTTAGTTTCACTAATTAGCGTTGTTCGGTCACTCACCCTCCGTAGTTTAATCAAGAACCATGGTTAGCAGATCAGTGGGTGTAACGTAATCGATACCCTGTTTGAACACAAAAATGATGAATGCTGGCTTTTGAAACCCTGTTGGCCCGCCTAGCTACCTTGTTCTTTTGAAAGTTTGTATTTCAATTTTCTACTTGTACAAGTTCAAAATATTTTGTTATTTTGTAGACTGTTACACCTTATTTAGAAGCATTCCTCTTGTTTATCCTGCACGAATTAAGATGTTTTGCATGTTCATCTCTAAGAAACGGTGAAATTGGCGTTAAGAACACTAGATCAGTGAAATTTTGCACAGCACACTCCAATTTACAGAAAGTTAATCTTACACAAACGTCAATTTGAACATTTACCAAAAAGTTCTAGCGATGCTCAGGGTGGATTAAAGGTTCCGTTTACAGAGTAGCGAAACATCGGTGTTTTACATTATACTGGTTACGGAGTCTTTGGTTACATCACTTGATACACTTTTGAGTAATCCGTGATAAGGAACAAATCATGATTGCAACTTTAATTGTGACTCGTAATCCATGATAACGGCTAGGTTGCGCGTCATAATTCCTAAAATTGATTCCGGTGTTTATAATCAGCATTAATAAACCTAATTCGGTCGGCTCTATACGAATATTCTGTAGAATTTTAGGTTTTCCCTTTTGATTTATGTGAAGTTCATCGAAATGAAAATTGCCATTGCTCATTTAGCTTCTAATAGGGACGTCTAGACATGTTTACTGGATGATGGAAGACTATGTGGGAGGGAACAGGTGACGTCCCCTTGAAATTTATAATTTCTGGAAACTGATGTCAGCAGGGGAAATTAACTCAATTAAGACGGGGGGTAGTTTGTCCGCGGTGAGACTAAAGAGTGTTGAGGACAATAAGTCGGTCAAGGGCCGTTACGTGTCAGTGCGCGAATGCGGGTTCAAGACACACATGTCTTTTGGACTGCATGATTTGCTCAGCAAAAGTAAATGGAACTTTATGTAGATTTATTGGCTGCTGACATCCTTTAGAGGCAAAATAATACCGTAAAGGATAATGAACTAGGTGAGAGACCAATGAATTTCTCAGATGCCTCTTTGTTAAACTGCATTTTTAATGGAGGACTGGTATCTCTTCTATCAAACCTTGTACCGCATCGAAAAATGGTAGTTTCAGTTCAGTTGATTCGATACATATGCGTTTACTTGTAGTAATAAAGGCTGTGCACAACAAACCGCTATTAGTTCAATGTCACTAGGTTCCCAGATATGGCAATGAAAATAGAGGTAACATGAAAA